CAGACTAGACCCCAAAACCTGAAACCACATGCCGACGCGAATGAAACCCACCGTACATCCAGGGTCTGTTTGGGAGCGACTGCTGCACGGGCTGGATTTTGTGGCCTTGTTAAGCGATTGCAGGCAGTAGACTCTCACTATGACCCTGAGCTCCTATAACCCCCCCAAATCCTATACCCCGACTTTAGACTACTGCTCCACCTTACATGGCCAAAGTTCACCCAGATGTAGGGCTCAAGCAAAGACCTTCCCCCTCATGGGTTTAGGGTTCAGGGTTTAGGGTTTTTGGGTTTAGGGTTTTGGGTTTAGGGTTTTGGGTTTGGGTTTTTTGGGTTTAGGGTTTTGGGTTTGGGTTTTTTGGGTTTTTGGTTTTGGGCTTTGGGTTTAGGTTCTGAGTTGAGGGTTCAGGGCTGTGATCTTCATGAAACAGACACTCCGCCAGAGTTGTGGGTTGTCGGACGTACAAAAATGCTACCTGTGCCCCCTGAACCCTGAATCCTAAACCCCGAACTAAACCCTTCACCCTAAAAAACCGCCCTAGCCTAAACCCTATACCCTAAACCCTGAACCCTAAATCCTAAACCGCCCCAGCCCTGGCCTAAGCCATAAACCCCTCAACCCCTAAACCTACAAGCCCTAAACCCCATAAATCCTATAAGCCCTCACCCGGTCGCGGAATCTCACACTTTTCAGGCTTGCGAAGTTGGATTTCGCGCGATCCAACAAACACGTTGGAACAATCAGCACAAGGCTTGTGAGGCTTGGGGTTTAGAGTGCGGCTTTTTGTTAAACGTGCAATGGCCTCTCTTTCTGTCGGTTCGGGGTTTAGGGCTTAGGGTTTGGGGTTTAGGGCTTCGGGTTTAGGGTTTAGAGTTCGGGGTTTAGGCTTTAGGGTTTGGGTTTAGGGCTTGGGATTTAGGGATGAGGTTTGCCTCAGACTTCGGGTTGGGTACGTGGAACCCCGAAGAACAACAGTACCCTGGATGTTGTGCTGGGTTTGGGTTTAGGGTTTAGGGTTCAGGGTTGGGTGAGGGTTAGGGTTTAGGGTTTAGGGTTCAGGGTTGGGTGAGCCCATTCTAGCCGGAAGTGAGGCTAATAACTGGAGGAACCAAAGCATGAAGCCGAGAAGTGCTCAGCTTACCCGAAGTGGCCAAGCCCGACAAGCCTGAAAGTATAGGGTTTAGGGTTTAGGGTTTAGCGTTTAGGGTATAGTTTTTTGGTTTTTAGGGGATAGGGTTTGCCGTTGAGCTTACCTGCATGCTAGGACTAATCAGGAGCTTAGGAACAAAACAACTAAAGCCTTAACCCCAAGCCCAGTTACCATGCAGGTGCGACGTGGGACTGGCAGCTGTTTCCTCCTCTTGAGCTTCGATTTGGGGCACATCCTTCATCAACAATCGTTTCGACCAAGTGTGCATGTCATCTAAAACTGCTGCTTAGTAGTGTTAGGCTCTAAACCGTAACATGGCTTTGACGGAATAGGAATCTTCTGGATACGGACCAACACATGAAAAGCATTGTCTACACAATAAGGCTTGGGGATCATAGATAAGTACGTGGTTCAGCGAGCTGCCTGGGAAAACCTTGCCACGAAGTAACCTCATGCAGTGCACGGCGATTCAATCCAATGACGACCTAACCGTAACACCCTGAACGGTTGCTAAAACCCAAACCACCTGCAACCTAATCCCAAAGCCTCAAAACCCTAAGACGGGCCTAAACCCTAAACCCGGATCTTCAGGAAACAGGCCCCATGTGACCTGCGCTTCTCTACAAGCAAGGGGCCACTCGCCGGTCAGCAGGCGGGCGCTTTCGGATGAAAAGGCTGAGGGTTTTAAGCTTCTTGAGGGCTATAGTAACAGTTTATGTTGTAGGGTTTAGGGGCCGTAGTGTTTAGGTAGTTTCGGTTTTGACTTTTGGGTTGCGAGCTCAGGGTCCATATGCAGGGCGGTGTAGGAGCCCAGTCGATTGGGGATTGTTCCGCAAAGCACTTTTACTTCGTATGTCCATGACTGAACATTGTGAAACCAGGTTAAAACAACGTCGAGAAACAACACACCCATAGTACTATGCCAACAGAGAGCCCTAGCAACATGCAGAGTAACGAGCACGTAATAAAGGGTCCTTAATGACTAGAATAGGGCTTCGGGGATGTTATACTATAAGCATACTAAGGAACCCCCAAATCCCTATTCTAATTACTAAGGCTCCTATATTATTACCCTCAACCCGAGAGCCTTCCTCACCCAAAACCTCGAACCCCCAAAATGCCAAACTTGCCTTAATAGTTGGAATAGGGTGTGGGGGTATATTACACTATAATCAGAATAAGGAACCCTCAAAACCCTGTTCTAAGTATTTTCTTCAACTAGTCAGAAGTTCAGGAGTCCGTAAGAACTACACACACACACCGCACACCTGGAATAGTGGCCAACAAATATCTTTCGAAGGTTTTTTTGCAGTCCATACAGCAAGCCCATCGTTGGCTTCTGAAGAACCATGGTACATTCTTGCTCGAGGGTCTGAAAAGTTTTGCCGGTTGGAGGTCTTTGAGGGGTGAGATTCGTTGAAGGTTTTGCTTTGAGGGATAAGTGCGAGATATCCTCAGAATGTACGTTCAGGTCTTCTGGTTGGCCCTTTCTTTCCGTTATGAGACCCGTACGCCTTACGTAACAAACAGGAGTACGAAACCCTGCAACCTTGGCCGTTGCAGCCCCTTGCCACGTGCAGTGCAGCACAGAGCCGGGCTTATAGGTTGTGAAAACGACTATGGTTGTCTTAGGCTGGCGTCCCTAGGTTCCCCGCTGTTCTCTTAAAACTGAGGATGCCGATTTCCCGACCATTCAGTTTTAGTGAGGAGACCCTCCAAAAAAAGGGTAGTACTACTGGGGGACCTAGCTTCTGGGACCTCTTTAATTTTGGGGCGAAGATGCAGGGCAAATGCTCTCACAACCCGTAGGCCGTGAACTGAAAAACTGGACCAATCCCTGTAAACTATCACAACCGCGCACTATGAGCCATGTCCTTCTTCCTCACCTGTCGGGCTTCTGTCTCGGCTGCTGCAAGACCAATAAGGTGACTAGCCCTAGAAATCGCTGACACTTGCGTCCCAAGATCCAGATCCCCGGCGACCACGAGTAGTGAGTGCACTGTCTTTTTGTTGCTGCTTCTTGTTTGGTGATGGTGATACAGCCATGTCGATGCAGCTGAAGGTATAAGCACAGCACAGCTGGCTGTTTCTTTCTGGGGTGAATCCTGTCCAACGTGCTGGGGTGTGGGGAGAGGGGATCGCAATGAACAAACGGTCCCGGGGGCAATGGCACTAAGCAACCTTGCGCAAATCGCTGGCTTTTCAGTTTTTGGTTTTCATGGAGAGGGTTCTCCCATGCTCACCTGCGCTATGGCACGTCAAAGGTGTGTCCCATCCGTGCAGGAGCCCTTACCATGAAATGTGTCGGGATTCGGAGGTCCCAAGAGATGTGCACATTAGCAACTTTAATGGGATCCCCCATCAGCTTTGTCAGTGAAGGTATGAGCTCTTTTTCCTCTCCCCCCATCCCATCTCGTGGAACATAACAGCAGCTTCAAGCACAGAGTTTATTGCAGTGTGCATCGTCGACAAGTTCGCCGCCCTGCCAAGGAGTGGCAGCCAAGCAAACCCTAGAAACCCAAGAACCTGCGAGGCATGTTAAAGTCAATATATCCTGTATATATATAGATATATATATATGTATATATATATATATATATTATGTATATAAAGATATATAGAAAAGTAGGTAGATAGAGATGCATATATATATATATATGAAAAACCCTGTCACCATGGTATAGGAAAGTATGCTACACTATACTACAGTGCAGCACATTAAGGTAGAGAAGCCCTCATTCCATTCAAGGCCTAGGGCTTCTGGGGAGAGTTCGAAACTCCATCGTAGAACTATGAACTGCAGTCACTCCTACTCCATTGACCCAGAGCCTGATCTCTGAATCCCCTCACCGAAATCTTGCGAGCATGAAACTGTGGCAATGGACGTGAAGCAGGTTTAGGAACAAACCACCACACCTCAACACAAGGACCTAACCTTGCATTCAAGACATGGCTACAACATTGCTAAGGACCCTCAATCTCTGAATGCTATATCCACAACTTGTTGCCTCCCAGCTTGTAAAAACAAAGCCATGCTCTACAGCCGAAGTTCCCTAAGCCCTCGACGCCCGAGACCGTAAACCCTAAGCCTAGGCCCTAAACTCAGAAGGACTTGTGGCTTTGAAGGCGTGTCCTCCAGGTCTGAAAGTGTTAAGGTTCAGCGCTTGTCCACTGCCGGATTGTGAGCGTTTATGTAATATAGGGGCCTAAATAACTACCAATATGAATGCTATAGGGTTCCTGATTCTAATAGTACGATAAAGGCGCCGAAAAACCCTATTATTCCAATTATTAATGCCCCTGCATCAGGCTGTTGCCACATGGGGCCAAGGTTCTTTCCACGGGTGTCTGTTGGGTTTAGGGTTTAGGGTTTAGGTTTTAGGGTTTAGGGTTTAGGGTTTAGGGTTTAAAAGTTTAGGGTTTAGGGTTTAGGGTTTGGGACAATACTTGCTTGAGCGAGCTTCAGTCTTGCGGATTCGGCGATTCAGTAAAACCCCAACCCGAAACCCTCCACCTTCTCTGCCTTTTGAAAAGTTTAGGGTTTAGCGTTTAGGGACGTAGCTTGCCCTAGCTGTACCCTGATGGCATAAGAAAGGGCCCACTGCACCGAAAGCAGCTTCGCGAACCCAAGCCCGCTGAACCCAAACCCTAAACCCTAAACCTTATACACCCTGAACCTTATAAACTTTAAACCTTATAAATCCTAAACCTATAAACCCTAAATCCTACACCGTACAAACCGTAAACCTTGTAAACCCTAAACCTTATCAACCCTAAACCTTCTAAACCCTAAATCTTATAAACCCTAAACCCTGAACGCCAAACCCAAGCCCGAAAGCCTAAACTCTGCCTCTTGCCAGGGCCGAGGCTTTCGTCGCCAAGGCGGAGGCACCAAAGACGCGCTCCGCAGCAGCCATCCTTGAACGGTGAGGTTCGGGGTTTAGGGTGTAGGGTTTAGGGTTTGGGGTTTAGGGTTTGGGGTTTCGGGTTTGGGGTTTCGGGTTTGGGGTTTAGGGTTTGGAGTTTGGGGTGTAGGGTTTGGGGTTTCGGGTTTGGGATTTACGGTTTAGGGTTCGTGTTTAAGGTTCCGTGCTCATGGTTTGGATTGGGTTTAGGGCTCGGGGCTCAGAAAAAGTACTTTGTTGCTACTTTACTCGTAATAACCACTGATCATATTCTTACTGTTTTCTGTTACTGCTCTTGTTAGTTGCTCTCAGAAGTAAACATGCGGGGCGTCCAAGCTGCTTCATCCACCAGAACCATTAAATAACAGAAACATAACGGCGCGCTTTCTTGCTTGCCCCTTGAAGGGGTGCCCTCTGAAGGCTAGCCGGACACTTTGTGGCTTCTGCCTTAGGTGCTTCCAGGGGTACCTGTGCGCGGTTTGTGCATGCAAGACCAGATCTGGCTTCAATAATCCCCTAACCCCCCAGGTACCTACTATATAGGGTACTAGAGCCGCTAGGACCCTATGTAGTAGGTAACTGGGGGGTTAGGGAATCGTGCTGACCCAACCCCGCCAACATAAATGCCTATTGCGACTACGATTATTTATTGCATATATGGGTTCTATCAGGATGCTTAGGTCAGTCCAGGTCAGTGCTGTTAAAAACAAAGATGGCTAGAGTGCTCTGCTGTCTCATGTGCTTCCCCTGCTTCTAATTAACGAAATAGTAGGGAATCTAGTGCTAGCAGGGACTAGAGAAGGGACTTCGGTACTAGAGATGCGAAATGATAAACTGTTGCCTCTCCTATTCTGCGTGGTTGCAGGCGAAGGATGCAGGTGTGAACCCTGCAAGATTAAAAGTACTGAGTCTTCGGCAGCTCTTCAATCTCCGATTGAGTGAAACCCACGATGTGAACTTCTTCCAAGCCTTGCTGCTCTACGGAGCGAGCTTTTGAGTCTGGCCATGAGCTTGGGATCTATTTAGTGTTAGGTGTAAGTTTGGGATCTAGAAGCCCTAAACCGTAGCCTGCTGCGTGCACAATACTAAACTACTACGAAGGCAGGCGATTTGGGTCTTGGGTTCGGGTCCGTGTTTGGCGGGCGATGGTTCATTCTCAAAGCGGGGTCGGCGTAGCAGAACCACATTTGCCATCGTCACCATGGAGTAAAGTAACACGTCTAAGGGGACGAGCAAAACCCGAAACAAGTCTGAAGGCAACAAGGCAGCAACGGTTACGTACAACCAGTAGAACAACTTAGGCTTAGTATCGGCATGTACTATAACGCACAAATCACATCTCCTCCTCCTCCTCATCATCATGACCATCATCATCATCGTCACCATCTTCGGCATCATCACCACGATCACCATCACCATCGCCGTGACCATCATCATCATCATCGTCGTCGTCCTCATCATAATCATCCGCTCCCTCCTTCTCATCATCATCATCATCATCACCATCATCATCGCCATCATCATCACAATAATGCTTATCATCATGTTCAGTATCATCCCAATCATCGACCACGCCGTCATTATCAGCAGAAAGAAATTTGTCACTAACGCCCCCATAAAGCACAGATACCTTTGTTGCTAATGGCCGCACGAAACAAATCTGCATGTCCGACGTTCTATCGTTCTTTCTTTGAGTAGCCGGTAGCACAATGTCACAAACAACTGAGTCTTCTGATTCAGGTGAACTCATAAAGAATACTATAATACACTATAACTCTTTAACATACTGTAACATTTTTTAACATACGATAAAATTTTCTGTAAAATAGTATTAGACATATATATATATACACTCACATACATTGAACATACATACATACATATATATATATATATATATGTGTGTGTGTGTGTGTATGTCTGTATATATGTTTATATAATATCATATCACATAACCTCCGAAGCACAGAGACGAATCAGAGCCCGAACAGAGGGCCTTCGTAGATGTGGTCCTTCACAGCCTAGCACGGAGGCACCCATCCGAGAGCATTTCAAGGCTAATGGGTAGATTGGGTTTAGGGTTAAGGGCAGATCGGGTTTCGGGTTTAGGGTGCAGGATTTAGGGTTAACGGTAGGTTGGGTAGAGAAAAACTTCTGACAGCCTACGTGGGGCCGTGGAGGGTTTGTATATTGCTCTGGCTGGGTTTGTTGTAAGCCTGGGATGCATGGGACTCAACAACACGGGCTTGAAGAGTTTGGCAATCAAGACTATAGAAGTCAATGTCGGGTTGTATTGACGCTGCCCCAAGAGGTATAACGGTATAACCCTAACACTACAAGAGCCGAAACCCTCAACCCCCAGCCCTCTTCAAGTGCTAAGCTTAACCCTGGAGCTCGTTCTGTGGAGCTCTCAATGTTTAGATTTCAATAACTCGTTGTACTCAGGCCCGAACGCTTGCGACGTTTCTTCGGGACTTGAGGTTTTAGGTTTGGGTTCATGGTTTTCGGGCGGACTTCTGTGGGGGCCTCTATTCTAGTAGACTGACATAAAGAAGATCAGGGGATACTGTTACCAGCTAGTTTTTGGGACCTCTACATTACGGTGTAGCATCTCAATATACTGACGACAGGTTGCTTTGAGTTCCGTGAGCAAGTTGAAAAGCTTAAAGCTTACAAAACATGAAAATTGCGAGCAGGCACTGCATGCTCCCTAAACCCCTAAACCCCTAAACCCTAAACCCTCCTGCTAAATTTCTGGGCGCGAACTTGAACTTATCGGCTTTTTTCTGCGTTCTTCCATCAGGATCCGGTCTGAACCCTACGGAGTTTAGGGCTCAGCGTTTAGGGCGTAAACCCTAAGCCCAAATCCCGAAATCCCCAAAACCCTAAACCCTAAACCCTGAACCCTGAACCCTAAACCCTAAACCCTGAACCCTAAACCCTAAACCCTGAACCCTGAACCCTATGCCCTAAACCCCAAACCCTGAAGGCCTTGCAGCCAATCTCCAGCACATCCGCCAGCGCCCGTTCCCCGCGGAAGATGCCTGCAGACCTCGGGATCCTCTCCAGTTCACCCCAGGGTTCAGGGTTCAGGGTTT